CACCACCACCACACCCTGTCTCTCCCTCCTTCAAAAATAAATAAACATTAAAACAATTTTTTTTTAAATGGGCATTATGTGGTGTGGGTGCCACCTCCTACAACAAACACACGGATAAACGCCTCGAGTTAGGAGAGAGTGAGCCCAGCAAGTGCCCTCCTGCCCCAGGCCTCAGTTCCTGGCGGGTGCCAGGTTAATTCCACAGCAGCCTCGGGGGGCCACCGGTGGGGGGGCGGGGATACGATGTTGCCGTAAAGCAGCCCCACCCAGCCCAGCACATGATAGGGGCTCAATTCACATCAGCTCCTGGTCCCTCTCCTGAATCTACCCAGTGATCCAGAAGCGAGGGGACAGTCTTTCTCCATGAGGCCGTCTGGTCTGAGCCCCTGTGGTGGTGGTAGGGTGGTAGAAGTAGATGCTTTATACTCCCATTTCATGGACGTGGATACTGAGGCTCAGAGAGGCAGCGTGCCTTCCCAGGACTATAGACGGGCTGTAAATGGAGTCAGGAGCCTATGGGTTTGGCTCCCAGCAGGGCCAGCCGGCTCAGCAGCCTGCCTGGCCCAGGAACCCCAGGGGGAGCCCAGGGCGTGCGAGTAGTGGGGAAGTCTGATGGTCAACAGTTGGGGAAGCTGCGGACAGTTCGGAGCTGATGGCTGTCAAATCCCAGGCGTGAAGTTCTCGGACCCGAAGGGTCTGTGTGTCTGGTTCAGAGGCATGGAGAGCTGTGGTTCTTACGTTCTGGGTGACCGTTGGTTCCTGGATTTGTGACCCTGGTTCTCGTGGTCCTGAGGCTGAGAAGGCATGGGCGCAAGTGCCTTTTCAGGCTGGGATCACGCCTTGTGGTCAACGGGAAATGGCTCGTCCGGGGCAGGGATCTGTGTTTGGCTGCCTGGTGGGCACAGCTTGGCCCACGGTGGGCGCCCAGAACCCACCGGCTGGTGGCAGAGACTGAGGGAGGCAGGGCGGCAGGCAGAGAGGGCTGGGGGCCCCGCGCAGCCACTCACCTGCCCGTGTCCTCTCCCGTCTCCGCAGAGCGCTGTCGTCCGTCGTGGCCCTGGGAGCCAACATCATCTGCAACAAGATTCCTGGCTTGGCCCCACGGCAGCGTGCCATCTGCCAGAGCCGGCCCGATGCCATCATCGTGATCGGGGAGGGGGCGCAGATGGGCATCAACGAGTGCCAGTACCAATTCCGCTTCGGACGCTGGAACTGCTCCGCCCTGGGCGAGAAGACTGTCTTCGGGCAAGAGCTCCGAGTAGGTAAGGGCGCCTCCGGGCTTGCGGGGACCCCCCCCCCC